GACATAGGTATTCATAAATATATACACACACATAACATATTTTTTTAATACAGACTTCCTTGGACTATAGGTAAGCGCCGATAAGCCAGGTCCTTATTTTCATTGATTCACGTTGATTTATATATATTATGAATGAATATCTTACTCACATTTTAACATTTCTTGGTAGGAAAGCTAGTCTTTCATAATCATTTCAAGCCAAAATTCTACTGCCATGAAGACTATTAAAATAGAAAAAGTCTACACATAAAACTGAATCAGCCATGATTCAGTTATCAGTTACGTGGCTGGTTATTAATTAACAATGTTTTTTGTGGACAGGTGATGACTAACTGAAAATACTATATATACATTTAATGTGTTTGCCTACTTCAGTATCCACAAATACTTGTCTAAAATTTTTCTAAATTTTTATTATTCACATTTTTCATTAGTCCCTGGATAAATTTTGCTGCCACCTACTGACACAGTAAAAAATCCTGAAGATGTATAGTTATAGTTATAAGACCAGAGATGAAGAGCAAGACATTGCTACAATAATTTCCAAACTAGTCTCTGAAATCAAATTTCTTTTTGCAAGTAAATCTCTGGCTAGATAAACTAAATTACAACCAACAAAATTTGCAGACATATCTTATCAGACATATCTAGTTTAAGTATAATGAAGTAAAATTGATTATTATCAAAAAGTTCAAGTAGGCACATTGAAAGTCCAGCTCCTGCAAATAGCAATGAAATATTTTTCCTTTGCAGCAGACCTCAGCAGTCCTCGAAGACCATTAGCCAGGCCTAACAAACCATAATTCTTATAGATGGTTTCATGTAACACATCCTATATATTAAAATCTGTATATGAACACAGAAAGTATCACTTCTGCAAAATTTTATCTGTCTCTTCAGTCTCTTCTTCTTCTAGCTTTTTGAAATGTTTTATCTTGAGAATAAAATTTCGAAGCCCAGATTCTTCTTTTCTTAGTTCAGTCTGATCCTTCTGCCTGTTGCAACTTCACTACTTCAAGTAGCAAGCACTGCTCACAGCAAGCAAGGTGGAGATGTTAGGACTGGAAATGCTACTTAATCACACCCTTTCCAGGAAAGAACAGTGTCCAGTGCATAGATACACAAACTGAACTTGGACAGTGCCAAAATGCCTCAAGTCACTTAAGAGCAGTATAAACAGGTAAAACAGGTAAAATTTCTCAATATCTGCAGATGTCTGCACAGAGCCCACTGTACCATATTCTATTCCTGGTACAAAATTGTGGAGACACCACTTTCATACTGTTACCTTTGCTCTTTAACCTATCCACAAACCAGAAAAGAACACTTAGGAACACACTGCATACCATGTGTTGGGCATGAATTATACAATTATGTCCTTCATGGGCTCTTCAGGCCTGCATGCTCTTAATGTAGTTCTAATAGGCGTATATAAATGTATCCCTCCTGCTCTCTGGAAAGAAACCAAATCCATTTTAACCTGTAATGTAAATAGTTTCTTTTTAACATATAGCGTGTGCTGATTTCACCTTAATTATATATTTCCCATTGCGAGAACTCAAACTGTGGGACACTGGGAAAGAATGCAACCCGCAGCCTATAAAGCACGGGAGCTGAATCTTGGCCTCCATTATCACCTCATTAAGCAGTGCCTGTACTGTACTTAAAATCAGCTAATGATTTTTAAATGTATTTATCAACCTACAACTTAATAATGTAGAAACAATATTCCTCTCTAATACTGAGTGAGCAATAATACATTTTAATCTCTACAGATCAACATGAAACGTTAGAGGTACGTCATTATCACAAGCAAGACATCTGCTGATCATTGTCAAATGCAACCTCCAACATGACCATACCACTAACACCACAAATGGTGTTAATTGCAATATAAATTTTCTTATGAGCAAAAGCTGATGGACTGAGGAAAACAGCTTCAATTCCTGGGCTTGTATACAGTTCAAGTTACTAAGAACTAAGTTAAAACCATAAAATTAATTCAACCCCAAACAAAGGAATGGCAAAATTCTCATGTTTGAGTTTAATGTGAGTGAAGACAATCCTCTGTGTTACCAAAAACCACCATTACAGCTTACATTAAACTGACAGGTTTAACAGTAGTTCAGGAATGCAGGATTTCGATTAAGTCCCACTAAAGCTGAGTAAATGGCCATAGCATCAAACAGAGGTTTCACAGTATATCCTTTAATTGGCAAGGGGATTGTGGTATTCCTATCCATCAGGCGACCCTTCTGAGCAAGGGTTAGGACCTGAGCTTGTTGCAGTGAGTTGGGAAGCATGTGTGCTCTGCAGGTGAAGCCTGGTTTGCTGAGGGCAAAAAGCTCTCATTCATTGTCAGTTCACTTTACTTTCACTGAACATCACTTCTGAAGCAGAAAAAGGAAAGGAAAATTTGTAAAAATCAGTGTGTCTGATTTGTGGATGCCTTCTCCTAGCTCTATAAGGTAATATGCTTTTAAAGTAAATTAGTTATAAATACTCCTCCCGCCAAAAAAAAAAAAAAAAAATCTCATGTCCTTAAAGGTCATCATACTCATCACAGAAGCTTTTACTTATCTGTCAGTACTAGCCTAGCCTGCAGTGGCCTGAATGCTAATTAACCTCCAATATTACCAGTTGCAAAGGGAGGCACTGAGCAGGCACGTCTGCTTTCATGTTTCAGGATCTTTGTGATTAAATTTACTGCTGAATTTACAGCTATTCCATGCTGAAAATATACGCATATGGATTTCATTGCCTGTACCAAAGTGGTGCAACCACCACTTTGTAACTGCCCATGCCCATCTGGTACCCAGAACAGCATCCCCCTGGAGTACGTGCAATTCAAGTGAGGGGATCTTCCTGCTGTTCCTGTTTGATTAGTGAATACAGCAACATTTACTCATGGACATCATACTTGGATGCTACATTCTTTTGGATGGAAGAGTTGCGAGTGCAGTTCCCAGGGTGTAAGCAGGGATGCCACGTATAACCTTTGACTTTGGGTATGTAGTTAGGCATTCATTGACTGCAACACAGCTTGTAAAATCAGTCACATTCCATAAGTATGAAAAATGTTGAGGTGAAATACAGGACGGAGATATGTATGCTCATGGTAGAGAATTTGCTTGGAAAAGATCTTTCTATGTCATTGGATCTGGGAAAACTGACATTAGGCTGGGGAGGTTTGGCCCTCAGAGAGAAACGGATGTTTTAAAATTTCCTTGAGAATATCAGAGTTATGATGTGCTATGTCCAAGTTACTGGCTCCCTGCTGTAAGTGAAAGTAGTATGCAGTGAAATGTACAGTGATTCCAACCAGCGGAAAAACAATTATTCCTACAAGTGAGCACAGAAGCAGTTAATAGTTGCAGAACCATAGTGGGGAGCTTGCCAAAATTGGCAGCTAAACCCTGAACCAACATAACAGTAGGTCTATTTGTCTCATTTACTCTGCTTTTCTCATCTCCCTAACTCCATTTCAAGGAAATAAAGATTGCTTTATTTTATATATATTTTTATATCTATATATAATCAATATATATATATATATTAACAATAGCCTTAGTGATTACGCCTAGAAATAAATTAACAGTAAAATACATTTTCAACAAAGGAGATGTGAAGGAATTATATAATCAGCATTTATCACTCATTTCTACTGATTTACATATTGAAAGGGATTTATTGCATTGGTAGCAATCAATTGTTTACTTACAAGAGAGCTTTTCATGACAAGTCTCCCTCTTTAAAACATGTTTCATTGCCCTAATAAAAACAAAACTCATTTCATAGAGCTTCCTAGCAAGGCATACAGACCAATTATCCTATTCAGATTCTTTCTTTATAATTGTTAATTTAGCTTGCTATATAAAACACAATTAAACCTTGTTTAGACTAAAGCTATGTGGAGTTCTAGCTGATGCTAGATTTTAAATCCTAGCCAAACTTAAAATACATATTTTAATATAATTCACACTGATGCTGCATAGTTATCACTTCCATAGCCACAGAAATGTACTTCAGCAAATTAGCATGTTCCCACTCCCAACTATGTCAGCAAAAAGGTATTTTCTTTTCATCTTTGCACAAAAGGTAATATCTAAACATAGCTGATTGGCTTAACATCAATTTACCTTGCACACTTGCATATTTTTTCCACCTTCACTGCTACTAACTGCCTGACATATATGTATGACATCTACAAATGTATATGCTACTGCAGAGGACTGAAACGTCATGGCTGTGTACAGGTACCCATAGATATACATAGGATGAGAACCGAATCATAAGGAAGAGTTCAAATCACATGCAACCTAGAACAATGGGGCACTTGGAAGGAGCTAAGGGAGAAGGGGTTTCAGAAAGACTAAAACTGAAGAAAAAAGTTGTAAGTAATGTACACAAATATGAGAGAAAGTAATATTTTTCTTTGAGTAGCAGCTAAACTGGAAGCAAACTTACATTGGCAGTTAGTCATTTTAATTACAGTGTGATGACACTTGCTAGTTTAGAAAATGAATCATATGGTTACACAGGAATGCAGTCTTTTTGCCTTAGCTATATTTGTAGATAAATAGAATTCTAAAAGTGAAACAGACATTCAATTGCTTAAGGGTTACTTTATGTATAAGAGTATATTTATTCAGTAGTAATTTCAGGCTATCTTCTCATGACTTTCCTTATTATTAAAGATCAGACATCCTTCTTACAGCACAGAGGACATCAACAGAATGACAAGAAAACCTAATGCTCTTTCAGGTATAAGAATATTGAAACAGCCTAAAATCAATCACTACAAGTTCCTGAAATCATTCCAATTTCAGTAAAGTCAATTACAGATACAGTTTAGTACAAGGACATAATTTACAGCATTTCTGAAGAGGAATATTTTATTCTGTCAAAGGACCGCAGTTTAACCCCACTGCAATACTTTCAGTGAAGTCAATGAACTTGCATTAGCATAAAGGCTTTAAAAACCTGACACACTGACCTACCTTTATGTGACAGACGTAACCTTGGCTGTCTTGTATCTGTTGCGTGACATCCAGCCGGTAACTCTAGTAACAAGCCACATAGTGCCAGAATTAAAAGGTCCTGGGCTGATGCCATCATGCCCAACATCGAAATCTTGCTCTCTTCACTTAACTGCAGCTCTTTGTTTGTTTTTTTAAGGCTCCAAGTTCCACTTCTACGTTTCCAGTACAGTTAGATATCTCTCTTTGGTCAGTTTGTGGGATATCTCTATGTGAAAAATCAATGTTCATCAGAAGAGCACACAGCCTCAGCTTGCCATTTGTCAAGCTGTGCAAATGTCATGTAAAAATATTCCCTCCCCAGTACAATTGTTTATAAAGTGCGAGGACATTCCAAGGCGTTACTCTGCAGTGTTGTGTCTTGAGCTCTCTAGTAACTCTGCCCGTGGATTCAGGAAGAAGCTGTATTTGCAGTCCCTCCTGCAAGGCAATTCATTAAAAGAAGGAGGGAAAAAAAAAAGAAAAATGAAAAAAAAAAAAAAGAAAGCACCCTCCTCCTTGGTGCTCTTCGGAACTCAGCCCCTTGCTCTGACTTGCTAAACAGCCAGTTTTAATTCACCTTTCACCTTTGCTAATTAAAAACAAGAAGTGCCATTCCCTCCTGGAGTTGCAGGATCCACCCAGCGGGGAAGCCGGGCTGTCAGGCTGCCGTATTTACTGAGAAAGTTCAGCGAGGGTTGAGGCGATGTACAGTACGAGCTGCTTCTAGGAAGCGATTTAATCCACGTGCCGTGCGCTGATTCCTCAATTGCTTCGCGGTTTCATGTTGTAAAGCATCAGGAGAACGGTCAGAATTCTTCCTGCCCCTCCCTTCTGAAAAGTCATTTCAAGTTTTTTTCCCAGCTCTGTGTTAGAGGAGGATTAACCCTTGATTTAACAGTTTAAGTGCATTATCACTTAGAGTCATTAAACAGCATGCTACTAAGTGGATCAGCAGTCTTTTTTTTATTTTAAAAAGGGTTTGGTTTTATGTTGTTGTTTTTGGTTGTGGTTTTCTTTTGTTTGTTTTTTTTGTTTGTTTTGTTTTGGTTTTTTTTGTTGTTTTTTTTTGTTTGTTTTTTCCTTCTACAGATGTGCTTCTACACACATCTTAATGAGAGCATGATAAACAGCATCAGATTTAGTAGGGTCAAGCAGCTACTTCTTACATTGCAACTAACAAATACCAGATAATTCCATCTCTTTTTAAAAAATCATTTCTAATTAAGCATCATTAAAATTCACATCATTAAAATTATTCCTGTGGCAAAAATTAAGTTTTTATTTTAAAAGTCTATAGGTCCAGGCCTGAAATACATAAATTAAAATGCTCTGTAGCTCAGATCTCATGCATAGAATCTTTTAGCATTTTTTGAAGTGCACTTCAGTTATTAACAATTGTAGGGGTTTTTAATTTGTTTTTTGTTTTTGTTAATGAAGGGGTTAATATATCTCAGGTCTTTGCAAAAATGAAACACGAAAACTAATATACTCATCTAGAGATAATGTACTCGAACACATTTGGTAGCCTACAAAAGAGAATGATATCTGGACAGAAAGATTTAATAAGAAATTTCTGTGTGCCAGCAAACTGAAATGAAAAAAAGCACAATACCATTGTGAAATGCTAAGAATTGTAATGACAGGATAAATAGATGGGAGAAGAAAGATCTGCAGATCTGTTCAAGGAGATTGAAAAATATGATCTACTACGACGGGGGGAAAAAAAAAAAGGAAGCAACTTTGGAGGAAAAGACAAAAGTAAATCAGTGAGGGTGCCCAAGGACTCCTGGAGGCTGTATAATCAAAGTGGGGAGGTCATGTCTACCTGTTAGTTCTCCAACAGCAGGTCACGTACACGTACCTGGGCTAGCCTTAAATCAGTTGGAAACTGTGCCATCAGCAGCTAAACCACAGGAGCAAGAGCTGAGCAAGAGCTAAATCACATAGCTCTTTGTTCCATTTCATGCACACACATTGCAGGTTGCACTGAATTGTATACTGATGTAGGGCTGTGGGGCCAGCTATCTGACAGTCACTCAGTATGTGTGCTAGAGACATTGTCTGTGAAAACAATACTGTCTCTGCCTCCAAGAACTGATCTCACCACAGACAAGTTTATCATCTACCTGATGGAGATTTTATTGGCACCTTTCTGTCGTACTAAGGCATATCAGTGTGCTGCATTTGATCACTTGAAGCTGTTGTAAAGAGCACGATCTGTTGAGGCCTCCCTGAAAATTTGCATTTGTCTTTGGATGTGATTCTGTGAACTCTTATTGAAATATTCACATTTTATTCCCAAATACAGATAGAATTAATAGAATTCTAGAAGACTCATTCTCTCTTAAATTTAAATCTTAAAAATTTAAACAATTCAGTTCCTGAAGTAACCCAAATGTCCTTTTTGCTTTTAAGAATCTTGATATAAAAAATTCAATAGTCTTTTTAATTTAATCTATACATTTTCAAAAAGGCTACAGAAATCCAAATGCAAGCTCAAGTATGAATACTGAAACCATATTTAGTGAGTAAACCAAACATTGATGCAAACCCTGAAATTCTGCCCCTCTCTGGAGCTGTTATTCAAAGTACAGTAGGAGATTGTTGATATTCTCAGGATCCAGCTAATGCTATAGATGCTGAACCTAATTAGTTAAGACTTCAGGTATCCTGAAGTGGTACTACCACAATAGTGCAACAATCTTAAAACAGTTTCCCCAGCTTTAAATTCCTTAAATTCTAGTTTCGTTTTTTCTGGAAGGTGAGAAAGAAGGGAAGCAGCTGGAAACCATGGGCCTTATTTTGTTCTTAGGTAAGAGAAAAGATGCAGCACGTCTACTCAGACAAGCTCTGTGTAAAAATAAGGGCAACTCCCTTCTGATGAGAGTTTACCTGTACACTCTGTTGCACTTCAAAAACCCATGCATCCTCAGCCATTACTTAGGTCTTGGCTCCCTACAAACACAATATGACTCAGAGCAGGGGCTTCAGTAGCCTCAGAAATACCCAGGCAAGCTGATTTTCATATTTGTGCCCAAGGACAAAGTATTTCTGTCTGAAATCTGATTCTTGAGCTAAGTGGGCCGTGTGGATGCCTCAGGCTACTTTCTGTGCCTGCAGAGGGAAGGCTGTGGAGCAGGGCTACAGAAGCTGGAGCTGCTGTTGGATGGGGAGGCTTCAGCTGACAGCAAGAGATGCTGGCATGCACATGCAGGGAAAGGCTGCTGAACACAAAGAAAGATGACTGCATTGGAAAGAGGCCCAACAAGATGGAAGGGAACGGGAAAATGCACGTATTGGTGTAAGCAGGAGACTCACTTCTTTCCTAGAAGAAAAAAAATGAATGTTCTTAACAGATATGTCCTTGCTTCATTTTTTCTCAAATCGTTGTATAAGATATATAAGCCTTACACCAACTTACAACAAACAAACAAACAAACAAACAAATAAATATTGATGAAAAGTGAGTAGTGGAAAGGTACACACAATTTCAAGGCAGAAATGTGTGGCCTCAGGCAAGGCAGACAAGCTCTTTGCCTCAGCGACTTTTCAATTAAACAGACATGTGGTCTTGCCTCTAGGGGTGTTTTGAGAGACTTGTTCCTGAAGGATTTTAAACAGTAGGTACAAGGATAGCAACTAAGATGTTCAAATATTAGGATTCTGTCTTAGATGAGTATAAACACAGATGCCAAGGGCTGCAGAGTCCACATGCAATACCTTGCTGGGTCTCTGAAGATAAACATGGTGGGCTTACTGTGTATTTTCTGTTAACAAGGCAAACAGAACAGATCTCTGTTGAACCTGAATTTTTTTCAGTAGCAAAATATGTTTAAGTGAATGCTGACAGGTAAGTAAAAATTCATGCCTAGAAGTCTTCAGGTGTTTGAAAATTGAGATGCAAATCTGGTATATTTGACTGCTGGGATAAAGTTTATATAATTGCTCTCAGCTAAAGAATACTAGAGGTTTTCTTAATAGAAAAGACAAAAATAAAGATGCTATGTACACTTGCATTCTGTATGTACAGTAAAAAAAACTAGTAAAAGAACTCCAAATTAATTGTGAATTGCTTTGTCTGTGAGTCACGGTTTGATTTGCTGCAACCACTGTTGCACAGATGCACAGCAGTTCTAATGAAGCCAGTGAGCCTGTAAGTCTAAACACTCTAACATAAAATGCTTCTGACATACTGTGTGAACTCGTTTAACTGAGAGAGTAAATGTAAATGCAGGAGCATGATATAAATAAGTAGATCTGCTATTAGCTACTAGCACCAGTAACAAATTCTAAACATTATAACTATAAAGCAAAATGAAGTGTTTAGAAATGTTAAAGCTAGGGTGGTCCAAAGATCGCCATAACCATAACTCAAAACCAGTTTGAAAGCTGCAAGACTGCCTCCTTCTAAAGACAGTACTCTGAGCCATGGCAGAAAATCTCTTTCGGATTGTTTGCAGATCAAAAGAAGGTGAGCAATCCAAGGAAGAGCTGTGTGGCCTCCAATGAAAGTTAATGACGCCTGCATCTTCATTAATCCTGTAACCTTTGGTAAGTGTATTGCAAAGGTAATCATTTATTTAACAGACAAATCTTTAAACAAAACTTAAAGAAATCCTTCTCTTACAGTATTTTACTTACAAAGCTTTCATATGTCACTATTTATCCAGTGAGCATTGCAGTTAGTATTGACACTTCAGCTTTCAAATACTATTATAGAGAAAGAGTAGATGTGGGAGATGAAGGAAAAGCTTATATATCATGTAATTATTATCTCTGTCTTATCTTTGCCTTTGAGGTGGGAATTCATGTCTGCTCCAGCCTCTGTTAGAAACTGGTAACTGGCTCTTGCTTCAGCCCTACAGAAAAAATGCTTGTCATTGCAGTGGTGCAATGGTGCAGCCTCTTAACTCCTAATCAACCAACAAAAATTCTGTGGCACATTAAGCAAGAGTTCTGACAAGACACAACAAGAACATGGAAAAATAGATACAACAGGTGAGTAATCGCTCAATAGCAGTATCTTCTTAAATCTCTCCAAGAAAGAAGAAGAAAACCACTCGAATGACCCCACTGACCCTAGGGAGGATAAGTTAACTGTTAGCAAAAGAATGCTGCCAGATCCTGTTTGATACAAGGTAATAACAAGAAATTAAAACTTAGTCATCATATAGAATCTTCAGACTATAAATGATTCTGACATTTGCTTTTGTCTGCTGGAGTTGGATCCTAGCCCTGTGTGAAAGCCGATGTGTTTATATACAATGTCTTTAGGACAGGGAAATGTTATTTCTCTTGTTTCATACACAGTAAACTCTCCCTTTGATCCAAGATCAAATTTAGACAATATTCGTTAAGCAAAAGAGTTTGACTGAACATGAACTTGCACTTCAAACTCACCGCAAAATTATCCTGTAAATTAGTGCTCTGGAGGAAAAAATAATTCTGAACTAAATTACTTTCCTTTTGATTTCAGAGAGACTGGGTTTTGTCAGGTAAATATTGAAACGACATGTCCTTGGGACATTGTTGTTTGCAGTAGTGTCCCTTCTATGACTAATTATAGGTGAATCTCAATACTACTTGGGCCATAGATCACATACTTTGGTTAACCGATATAAAACAGGTGGAGCAAATGCTTCTTTCTTCAATTGCAGTTCTCTTCAGTGTATCTTTATGAGTTGCACTAAAGAGTATCAGTATCTTGCCACTGAAATCAACTCCATGAGCTTGACTTACGATTA